CCCTGTCTTTATGCAATAGAACTTTTATAACTATAATTCCAGTATCTTTTGTAGGGTAATGAAAAGTTTTGGAGCTAGGCTTCATAATTATTAATTATTAAAAACTATGAAAAAATTACTACTTTGGGTTTACAAAGTTGAGGCCTGTAAGGTCCTTTTTTGTTTGCTGTTCATTTGCAAGCCAAACAGGGACATGGGAACAGCCTTGAATCTCAAGTTGTTTTCAAACAACTGAACAGACTTTTTAAAAGTTTACCAACTTGGTCCACTATTATTTAAAATTTCTTAAAAATTTAAACTAAAGAAAAAATGTAATGTCAAGAAATTATGGCATATGAACTCATTATCTGTTAGTTTTCATGAATCACAGTGACTGCTGTGTTCGTACTTTTCCTTCCAGTTCCCGTTGATAGACCATGTAAAATATTTAACAGTGGGTCTAATGACTAAACTCAATATCTGTTCCACCAAAAAGCTCTTTCCAAATTTTTCAGCGCATCCATTCACCCCAAGGTTTTCCAGTGTGGTTCTACTTTCTGTGCTGTGTGGCACAGCCTGCATAGGAAAATTGGGCTAACACCTTAATGGGCCCTCCAACTCGTCCTTTTCCTCTAAATTTAGAGTTCTGTGGAATTGCATGTTTTGACATAAACTGTTATTTTTATTTAAATGTGTAGTCAAATATATTTATTGTTTATATTTGATATACTTAGTTTTGAATAAGTAATTGGTCAGTGTAGGCAGGGTTAATTAAAATTCAAAATGGACTATAAAGTTTGTTTACCTGTATAGTATGTTAGCACAGGGTTATTTACAGATGAGCCTTTGAAAAACATCATCTATTCCAGAGAACTTTCAATCTTCAGGAATATCTGATGTAGTCATATTTTTGTTTTAATACATGATGCCTCAGGACTCTATAGAAGCTAGATAAATGGTTTTCATTAAAGCTTAATCTCCTATAAAGTTGAAGGGAAGTTAGTTGGGTGCCACTAGCCACTACCCTTTCAAAAAAAAAAATCATTCTTTCTAAGACAACCTTGGCTGGAGGAATAAAGAGATGATGTTGCAATTGAGGTTCACACCTAGAGGATGCCTGAGGGTCTAGCAGTACATTGTGCAAGAGCTGAGAACAGAATCCACTCTTCTGGACTCCCCGTTATTCTCCATATCTCACCATCTTGAGCTGACGTGTGAGTCTATTGATAAAGGAAGCAACATCAGAGAATATCAAATTAAGAAAAAAAGGTCGAAATTCCATTGCTCAAGAAATTCAAGTTGACATTGGGATTAATGTCTCTTGTTTATAAATTGTTTTACTAAAAACTATAAGTTAGGATTGTATTTTATTTCACTTTACATGTTTCATATTTCCGGCTAACCTCTAGTAAGAGAGATTTGTTCTTGCCTGCAGGCATATCCTGCATTTTGTCTTCTTGTCCTTTCTTAGAGTAACCCCATTTTGGGGGAAAAAAATTAATTTCTTTAAAGGAGCAATTAAACTTATATACAGAGAGAGTACAGTAGCAGATCATTTCACTTGAACTGTCATGATAAAGTCCAACTAGAGTCACACCAGAAATATCTAGAAAGTAAATACACTGTCTTCCCTAGCATGGTGAAGGAATAGATAGAATTAGTAAAAAGTAAAATTAAATAATTCTAATTAATTATTCAATTACATTAATCTATTCTTTATGACTCTTGCTTATATGACCTTATGTGAATGAAAAGTCACCTGTGTATGCAAGGAAGTCACCAGCGTTTGCCCATGAGAATGAAATCCTTTTTTTGCCAGCCTCTCACTGGAGGTCCCGGTTAGGCTGAGCCTTGAAGGATGATCTGTTAGACTCAGCTTGGAATGAGGGCATTCTATTGAGACATAAAGAAGGCATGGGGATGAACTTGAAAATATCAACCGGAAGATTTAAGGCCCTTAAAGTATGGAATGTAACACAGTCTGGACCAAAGGTAAAATAATAAGAGAGGGCTCAGAAATCAGAATTGCTGAGAACCCTGGTTACCTAAGAAATTTTGATGCATTTAATAGGAAATAGGGAGGTTGGGAGAATTCTGAATAAGGCAGAGCTTTAGGAAGATGATCCAGTTGATCGATATAACACATTTCACTTCCACTGTGAAGTGTGCAGAAGGAAAGATTGTCACATTCTTTCAGATCACCCCATTTTGCATTAATAGTGCAAGTAAAAATTTTGGTTGAAAGAAATTGACAAAGATTAAAATGTAGTTTAGAGTTAATCTTGGGTAATTGTTATTCAAATATTTTTCCTCCATATCATGAATAAAGAAAAATTAGCTCATTTGTCAAATAGAAGTTGGTTATATTTTTTCTAGACAGTCTGTAAGATGTTAAAATAATTTCCCCTTGACCTAGGCTTTTAGGAAAACAAAAGTTCAATGAAAATTTCTCCCCAAACAAAGTAATTTTTGTTTGGATCCATCCATAGAGAGTTAAAATGCAACTCTCTGATAGAAAAACTAATCTGGAATAAAGCTTTATCCTTCACAGCAGCCATCTGTTTTTCTACTTTATGGAATGGTTTCTGAGGACTTCTGGTATTTGTGGAATTAACTCTCTAAAGTGTTAGCTATTTGTAAAGGATCCTAGAGATCTTTGCCATGAAGTGTTTTGTAATTTTGCTAAGACATAAATGCGAGTCACATGGACTAGATGGTGCTCAGGTGCAAGCTGTCAAGTTGGGGCATTAGTCTTAGTGAGCATCAAACACCCACTGCCCAAAGTGGTTTTGTGTCTGTCTACTCGACCATCAAGCAAGATGGTGAATGTCATACTTTGCCTTGTTTTAGACAAAAGCAATATACTATGAAGCTATTGCAAATGTGCAAATACGTAAAGAACATGCCATTAATGGATTTCAAAGGTCTGCTTCCCATTATAGATGGAGTATCGATTGAGCAGGCATAGGTTGAGAAAGTTGACCATCAATAAAGACCAGCTCTTTGTTTCACTGGAAAAATCTATGACTCTCTGGAAAATCTGGGGAAAATCAACCTCAGTTGGCCTTTAAGTTTTAGGGTTTTAAGATTTAAATCATCTCTAAGTAATGCTGGCAGTGTGTGTGACCCCTTTGGGTTTGAATCATTTATTTTGGAAATCATAAAAATTGTCAAACAGTTGATTGTTCAGAGTCAGATTCATGCAACTGAATTTGGAATTTCCATTTTTGCAAAAAGTGAATCAGATTTAACATTTGGCTTTGATCACTTGGTAATGAGTCACTTGATTGGTACTCTAATGATCTCAAAGTTCAAATTTGTAAGGGAAATAAGGGACCCTGTATATCCCCAGGATTAGAAAAATGGCTTAGATGAATTCTGTTTCATTGCCAAAATAACTAGATCCTCATGGAGAATAATTAAAAGTATTTTTATTATTACAAATAATAAATCAAAATGATTTGCTTTTTAAAAGTCGTTTATCTATGAGGTTTGAAATGTAATGGCCCTTACTCAAAGTTGTCCGCCTCTACAGTTTATGTGAAACAGAGTGCAACTACACTTATTGTCAATACAGACTCTGTGATAGCCTCCCTTTTTTTTAAAATTGGAATTTTTATTATGCCCTAAAGAGTGGCCCAATCATCATGTCTTCTGAATTCAGATTTTGACAAGAGGCCCTTCCTTGGGCTGCTGATGAGAGCTGTCAGTGATATTTCCCTGCGAGGGACAAGTTATCTTGCCACTGTCAGACAGGCACTGTGATTTAAGCTTTGTCTAGTTAAAAATAGTCAGGATTCAGTGTCCTGTTGAATTTTCTACTGTGTTTTGCAAATACCAAGAAATGTGAAACCATTCTTGGAGATGGCTGTATATCTAGGATAAACTTTCTTAGCTTTTTTTTATGAGGATAAACTGTCCTCTAAAGCATTGAAAACATGATTTCTCTTTAGCTCTTGGGGGCATGGGGGGAGGAGGAGCCAAAGTAAAATCAAATAAACAACAACAAAAATAAGCCTTCTGGAACTTCCATGCCTACAGTGCTCATCTGCTGTCCAAAACATGCAAAATTCAAAAGACACGTGAAAGAAGTCATGAGAGTTATTAATTTGCACATTACATTACACTGGAGTAATATCTTTCCAGATTTGGATTTGCTGTCGTCTTCAAGATAAGTACAGGACTTCCTGAAAACAGAAATAAAACAATTAACCTCAAATCTGTTGAACCCAACCAAGGCCTGGACTACGTCTACGTGACCTAGTGCAAGTCATCTAACTGATGGTCCTTGGTTTTCTCCCCACTAAAAATGGAAAGAATGCTTCCACACTGACCATCCAAGGGTAATGGCAGTTTGTAAGCTGTTGTCAGAGAGAGGCCTTTCAGAAGGCCACTGAACCAAACCTGCAAGGGAAGCATAAAGCCCTTTCAGCAGAGGAGGCCCAGAGCCTCCTGGTTGACCCTCTTGGGAAACCAGGGGTTCTTCCCCTGGGTGAATGAGAACCCTCACCTGTAGCATTCAGCCAACCTGGTTGTAAACCTCCCCTGTGCTGTGTGGACCAATAATATAGTCAAGTCAAGTGTACCAGGTGGTTTGTAATTGTGATGGCTGGCACTGTAGAGGTGAGGGGATAGGGCACTGGTGTATCCTGCAGAATCCCTGGCTGAACTACACTATTAGACCCTCCGTGGAGTGGACCTGAGTCCCAATGTTGCCCACAATATTGGAAGCCTCCTCCTCACAGATAATCCAAGTTTTGTTTTTCCATTCCTCTAATCGTTTCCCGATTACACGTGCCTACAGCTGGGATATGTAAGGCTATCGAGCATTTGGCCCTTGGGGGTACAGGGCTCATATTTATATGATAGATCTGCACTTTCAGTTCCCGTGTTAGTTTTTTCTCGTAAATGATTATGCAGGTGGAAGGGAGTTTAGAGCTTTGACGCTATCCTTTCTGGTTCCCTGTACTCAGAATATTGAAAGAAAAATGCACAGTGAAGTTACCTCCAATTCCTTTTAGGTTAGGATTTTAAACAAGAAGATCGATTTTAGCAAAGTTCAGTCCAGATGTGGCTCCAAGGATAACATCAAACATTCTGCCGGGGGTGGAAATGTAAGTAGAATCTTCTATTAGAAAGCTGTCCTGATTGTGTGGAGCCACCTGCACAGCCAGCACCCTTTTGCCTTTCTTGCCTCCCTCCCAACACACTCTCCCCTTCTCGTTGCTGCTCCACATGTGCCCCTGGTCTGGGAGCTTGTCAGCCTTGCGTTTTGGGTGATGGGCTTCCCATCCTTCTCTGTAAGATCATCAGCGAGTTTCTTGCTTTCATTGAGGAAGAAAACCTTAACGGGGTGCACGGTGGTTTTCAGGGGGATGGAAAACCCGCTTCACTTGCCAATTTTGTTTGCTGGCCTTCGGCTTCGAGGTATTTCCTCATACTGTCTATACTCCTCCTCAGAAGTCAGCTGGGCACACGCTTTTCTAGCTCTATTTCCATTACTCTTGAGGCCAAGACTGATATCCCTGAAAGTACCTGTGTGTGGAATGTCAATCTTCAGTGCTTCATTATTCATGAGAGTTAACATATCGTTTGGAATAATACAAAACTGGTGAAACACAGTTCATCTGTAATTCAAAGTGGAAGGATTCAAGTCCCAGTATGCACTTTATCTTGATGGGATTTTTCCGGTCTCTTAAATTGAGCAGAAATAATTTCCTTTGAGAGAGAGGGGAAGATGAATCCGTGTTTCTCAAATGTAGTTGAGGCAGAGTTGAAACAGGCAAACTCAAGCTAAAGGAACATGATTCTTCGTAAAATGAGAATGATAAAAAGGGTGAACCAAGCTGACTTTCTATTCTACAGATCCTATCGCATAAACTTTAGGTTCTGGCCATCTGTGACTCAAGTAATTTAGAGTATCAAATCCAGAATTCTCACCTGTCTAATAACTCTTGACTCCTTGCTCCTCAACTGGGCAGAGAGGAAGTCAAGCAGTGAAAGGAGAGACAAGCAGGCCTTACCAGAAACTGTCACCTGATGCTCTAAGTAGCTCCACTGAGCAAGAAAATGTCACTGTCATGGGAAGTCCACAGCAAGGCTTGCTGGGCTCCTTCAACAGTGCTGGGCTAAGACCCAGGGTCAGTATTTACCTTGACATGGTTACCTTGCCCCCTGTTGCCCTGACTATAAATGCAAACCATGTGGTGCTCTCACAGAAGCAGTCTTAGTCCTGGTAAATAACTTGAGGGTATCAGAGGGTGGACCCAGCTATCCTCTACTGCATGTCAAAACCCCCCGGTGGAAAAGGATAAATTGAGATAACTAACGATCTTAAAGTAAGTAGGGAGCTTCCAACCTCCAAAGCAATAATCTAAAACTTTCCTCTGGAGAGGAATCACTTGTTTGAATATGCAGATTTCCTGGCCCCATTTCCACAGTGTCTGATTTAGTAATTCCCACGTGCTTCTGATGCAAATGGACAATGAACCACACTTGGAGAAGCACTGTTTTCAAATATCAGGAGAGGAAATAATTTCAATGAAATACAAAGAAGAAAAAAATGTTGCTATCATTTTATAATTTGGTGTGCAAGAAAATTCCATTTAGCCAAGACATGACAATATTTTAGAAAAGCATGTTTAGAGCTTTCTTCTTCTTGTATCTTAAAGCAATGTTGGTCTTCTTGTATCTGTGAGCAATGTTGGTCACTTTTATATAAAAATCACTTTTTAAGGAGTAATTCATCTCTTCACTTGGCTCTTTGCTTATGGAAAGGTTTAACATGGTGTGGCTTCATTTTCTGAGTGGAAGCTTGCCTTATTAATCCAGATGTTTCTGTCCTCTTGTGGCATGACCTCTTTTCTACTAATAAAGTCTTCTCTTCTAGGATTTTCTTTCTCTTGGGTCCTTATTTCCAGCCAAACATGGGAGAACATATGGGAGGTTATGTTTTCCTGCGTGTGTGCGCCTCTGTTTGGGTTTCTGTATATGTTGTTGTGTGTTCTGAGTTTGGATATGTTTCTAGATTTTATGTATGAGCTTGGGGGCTTGGCCACGTCTAAACTATTTTAAGCATATTTGATGTGGTTCACACAGGTACAGATTGTTACCAAGAAGATAGACCTAAGCCATGTGACATCCAAATGTGGCTCTCTGAAGAACATTCGCCACAGGCCAGGTAAATAAGTACTTTTTATTAGTTTGAGAAATATTGAATTGGATTCAACAAAATGACAAGCAAAATTTTTGTTGTTTTGAAATACCTAATTGGAAGGACATTTCAAAATCCTGATACTTCATGCTTTTAATAGAAAGTTAGAAATTCCAAGGCATCTTCATTTGGACAAGTAAACTCAAGTACCACAGATGGGCCACATATCATAGGACAGGTTAAAAATTAAAAGGTGTATAAGATTCGCTAATCTCTATGTACTCAACATGCTTATTGGCGCTCTTTTGAAATATATAGTCTATAAAATACATTGGGCCATGTATTCTTACATAATTACATGGACTGAAAGCAGAATTTCCAAAGATTTTTCATGAAGTTGTTTCTCTACATTATGTGAAATAAGGATTGTGCTTAAGCAAAGCTAAAGAAATTTATCTGCTGAATTTCTCAGATCGTTTAGTAGCTCAGTAAGCATTGTGAATCCTCAGCAGAATGAAGTGCTTCCCCAACTCATTAGACCATGGACCTCTTGTTTCTCTAGAAAATCTCATAGGATTAGTGCTCTAAAGTGGAATTTATATGCATACTTGCTGGGGACCTGTCGCTCTTTAAAGTGTGAATCTGACATATGATTCATTTTTTCTGAATATCACATGATATATATTTTTGCTAAATTCCACCTCCATGCATATTTAAATAATGGAAAACTATAAGATTTGTAATTTTCTTGAGAATATTTTGACACAATTTATATACAACATTGGATTATAGAAAGACAAGAGGAAGCAATTGGTTTTAACCATCTGTTCTCGACATCTTAATTAAATCTGGGAATAGGTTTTTCCCATTAATCATTGTCCCAAATGTTGTCAGAAACAAAGTATGAGAACAGTTGAGCCCAGTAAGATTTCTGACCAGGAGAAGATTACTAAGAAGAATGTATTAGTAAAAATAAAGGTAGGTGGGATAAGTTTCAAAATGGATAAATGCATTGGAAACATGTCTAGAAATCAGGCTCCACTTTGGCGAAGGGTATTCATAAAGCAAGTCAAGGAGTTAGGAACTATATCTATGGAATCTCCATTACTGGTTTTAGAACTGCTACCCTGGAATTAGCTTCTCCATCATCCACGAGGCGGCAGGGACATACTGTCTACTGTGTATCTTCCCAATTCCCCTGTCTGTAACTCAGGCCTACAAACACTTAGTTGAGTTTGAACTGCTGTGCCAACAGTATGACTGAAGTATTTGACCACACTACCTATTTTCTTCCAGAATACAAAATAAAATATTGGATTCTTTAATTTCAGACAGTAAGTATACAGTCAGTCAAATTCGCCTGGGGTCTTGATGCACAGAAAAATCTTATACAGATAAGGAAATATCCTGTGTAAGATTTCCTGGTCGTAAAAGGTCATGGACTCCCACCTATTTCTAAATCTAGCTTTTCTATAATCACTGAATCAGATGACTAAATTCATAAAGACGTGTTAGCACAATGATCCTTGACAACAGCAAGCTTTTCACAAAGTTGCTTTGGAATGTGGAATGTCTAAGGAGAAAATGGAGGAAACAGTTCAACACCTGGAGACACAAATTGAAATATCTAGACTTATCAACTTCAGTTTAGGACACATGAAGCTGATAAAAATTATAGTCTTTCACAATTACTGCACCAGGTGGGTGCTAGAATTCCTCAGAACCAAAGGCATAGCTCTCTGAATCCAAATGGGCTTCTCTAATAGTTACATAAAATTTTTTAGTAGGACTTCAACAAAAATAGACTTCTCAAGCTTCGTTTTCTGAATATATTATAGGTCAATATTAAATTATTATTTTTTCCTCTAAAAATACAGTTCAACAAAAATTTTAACAAGGTTATATTGACACAACATATAATCATAAAATAAAGCTTGAAAAGGCAATTTCTATCAGAGGCTACCAAAAAATAGAAAAGTAAGATCCCAAGAAAGTTGATCTCACCAATTGAAAGGTCAGTATCCTCCCACCTCTAACCAAGATGAGTGTGTTTTATGATTCACACTAATCCTGTCACAGCCAGCAGGTGAGACCCACCTGGCCAGGTAAAATTCTGGGAGAATAACACTTCCTGTAATAATGCATATTTTGAGAGAAGGCCAACTACAGGTCTCCTGTAAGCATGAATTAACATCATGCGTGTCCTAAGCCTTCAGTAGACGAAAGAATGGATGTATCTTCGATGGTAATTCAATAACACTGTATAATTTCAAGGGGCCCCTGCCCAAGTAGTTGAGTGTTAATATAAATGTCTAGGTATTGCATGAGAAAAACACCCTGAAAGACCTCTGAAGCCTTAACAGACCTTTCTCTTTGATCTACAGAGATAAATAAGCATCAAGAGCCCAAAATTGAAAAATCTTTTCCATGTTTCCATAGAGTCCCGCAGGTATTGTCCCCAAATCAAAATCCCAAGAGAAATGCAATGATAGTAGAGGATCATATTGCTTGCCACTGGCCTTCCAGAAAAATGCCTACAGCCAAAACCAAGCTGCTAATGAAAAGTGAAAGCAAATCTCTTAGGTGGAAATGGGTAAAGGAGTGTAATCCAGCTTCTTTCCAGGTCAGAGACATCAGCAGACACTCAGAAGCACTCAAGGGCAAGCTAAAGGACAAGAGATACCTAGCCAGTGTAGAACTCTCTGCATTTGCAAGCCTGAGACAGGCATGCAGAGGTCAGGAGACCACACTGAAGGGTGGCACGTGGCACTCTCATCTCTCAGCAGATCCTTGAGTTTCAGACTAATTAGCATTTAGGGAAATGGCATGGTTAAAGCTGTCTCAATATTATCAGATCAAAGTCAGTGTCAGGTCGGTCCTATGGCATCTGTACAATGGGCTCTCCTAAGATTCTATTCCTGGGGCCGGCCCAGTGGCGCAAGCGGTTAAGTGCGCACGCTCCGCCACGGCAGCCCAGGGTTCACCAGTTTGGATGCTGGGCGCGTACCGCCGCACCGCTTGGCAAGCCATGCTGTGGTGGCGTCCCATATAAAGTGGAGGAAGATGGGCATGGATGTTAGCCCAGGGCCAGTCTTCCTCAGCAAAAAGAGGAGGATTGGCAGATGTTAGCTCAGGACCGATCTTCCTGAAGAAAAAAAAAAAAAAGATTCTGTTCCTGTCGCTCCATCTGCTGATTAAAATGGGAAGCTCTGAAACTTACTAGTTATAAACAACTTAGTTCCTGACTCTGGTTTCATCAGTCAAGCTATCAGTATTGAAAATTTACAAATGAATGTGTTACCCATATGCACACTATTTCTAGCCTAATAGTTCTTTGGACGAGTGACCTATTACCATGAAGAAGAATAAAGAAGAGCTTTATTTCAATTTAATTTGCTCCCTTAGGAATAAGAGACTAAATGATCCAAGTTTTAGAAAGGATGCAATAGGATATTTTCATTGTGTTATTTTTAGAGTTTTTATTATACAGATAAGAAAAACCCCTCAGAGAGGTCCCCCTGTGAGAGAAAGGTGTCATTTGGCTTTTAAAGGGTTAGAGGAGCCACTTAAACAAAAAGTAAATGGAATACAAGGACTGTGACCTCTAAAGTCCTTGTCTCATAGCCAAGTAGATTCCCATGGCATAGGGGTTATTCTTGGGGGTGATAACTCTGAAACACAGTTTTTAAAAGAGAGCCTTTGGTGAGATTCAAAGAACAGAATAACCAAAGCCAGACTTCAAAGAAAGTGAATAATACTGGAAGCCTCAAAGCTGCAATCAAACCATAGTGTCAAAAAAAAAAAAAGAAAGAAAGACCCCTCTATCTTAGGTTAGACATGGGTAGAGGAGAAAGGTGTTAATATGTAAAGCAACCCGTATAATGGTACAAAAAGGATGTCGTTATCTTAGGCAGTATGGGGAAAATGATATGGACTAGAAATTCTAAGATTCCTTTCACATCCATGGTCGGAGGGATAGTAGAGTTAAATAAGTTTGTGGTTTGCAATCGTGTTGTAATCATTTTTGGGAAACAGTCACCACAAATATAACATTTAATTTTAGCGAGGGATTTAAAAGCCTTTCTCCTCTCCTCTAGGTGGTGGGCGTGTGAAAATTGAGAGTGTAAAACTGGATTTCAAAGAAAAGGCCCAAGCTAAAGTAGGTTCGCTGGACAATGCTCACCACGTACCTGGAGGTGGTAATGTCAAGGTAAGAAGCAAGGGCATGAGCCGATCTTGTCTTTTTTTTAAATCCTTCTGAAATACTCTTCATCAAAATGGGTCCCAGATTGAAGACCTAGACATACAAGAAGTAGGGATGGCAGAGCTGAATAGCAGTGACATTGACATCAGCTCTGGGATAGAGAGAAAAAGCTAGAAGCCAGTTAAGATGCTTGAGTTAACGAGGACTGATGCTTGTCTTGAACAGATTGACAGCCAAAAGTTGAACTTCAGAGAGCACGCTAAGGCCCGCGTGGACCATGGGGCTGAGATCATTACGCAGTCCCCGGGCAGATCCAGCGTGGCCTCCCCTCGACGACTCAGCAACGTCTCCTCTTCTGGAAGCATCAACCTGCTCGAATCCCCTCAGCTGGCCACTTTGGCCGAGGATGTCACTGCTGCACTTGCTAAGCAGGGCTTGTGAATATTTCTCATTTAGCTTTGAAGTAATAACGTTTAGGCATGAGCTCTTGGCAGGAATGGGCTCTGAGCAGGTGTTATATTCATTCTTTACAATCCATAAAATAAATAATCTCATTCCCAAACTGTAGTCATTGTTACAATTTTATAAAAAAAAAACATGAATAGTATATGCAGAAATTGACTTGATTTCCATTCGCAACAGGAAGACACTGGCTTTACATGAGTACAATTGGACAATTATTTTTGCTCTGCTCTGTTTTGCATGGAGAATTATTATTTCAAAAATTGCATTTTTACCTTTCATGTGCCTGAAGGCTATCCACTACGTTCTGAAAGGCCTTGTTAAAATCCAAGCTGCTCATTTCACTGTTCTGTTGCTGGGTGAAAACACAAACGCTGCCCATTGTAACTTACTACAAGTCAAATTAAATCAGGAGTCTGATTGCAGGAAGGGAAGAGCATGTAAGAAATACGTTTTTTTTTAAATGTTATTTTGTATAAATGGGAAGAAAGATTCAATTAAGTTATTAACATTTTGGACCTGGATTATTATATCAGAGTATAAGTAAGTCAATCCAATAAATTATTTAACTAATTAAAAAATAGGTACGAAGCCTTGGAGCTGCAGTTGAGGAAGTGGTGTAGAAGTGCATCTCTTAGGAATGTTGCACTTTCATTAGGACGGACTCGTGTCTGATTAGAATGTCAGTTGATCAGCTAGATTTGTGTCCACACTACCAGTTTCACACCCTTTTCCATCTGTTTGATACAGTATTATAGATATAAATATATATATATTTCTCTGTGGCCATTTGTGATACTTCCTCATATACTTGAATATTATACTTCCTTATTCACAGTATCTGTGTCTCCTGCACCCTTTGGTGTTACAATTTTAGGTATGTGAAAGTAGCTGTTAGCAGGGTTCTTTCCCTATTTAAAAAAAAAAAAATTACGTTAAAAAAGACAAAATGTTTTAGCATGAAGTTGCTTTCTGTAACAACTCAAAGCTGTAACCCTGTTTTAGTGCCAGATACAAGTCTCTTCCGTGATGCTAGAAAAATTTATTTTTCTTTGCTTTCACCAACATGGAGTTTGTGGGGGTGGGTCCAGTTATACATAAAAGGATTTACAGATTGTTGGTTTAAGGTTATGGGTTTATCTAATTTTGAATCACGGAATAGTTTGGGTTTTATTCCTGTAATCATTCATGAAACAGACTTCCTAAGATTTCTTTTTTTTTTTTTCCCCCATTTGCTAAAGTTGAAACTGACAACAGTGGGAGCTTGGGACATGGTAGCCCATTCTTCCAAATAATACCTGCTTGTTAAATTATCTGATAGAAGATGTTTGGCTTCCTTACTCAAAGTAAAGATTCCTTGATCAGAAGGGAAAAATACAGTATTTGGAGAAGCTAGAGCTGCAAAACATGTAAGATGCAGGTATTTATCTAAATCAGTTTTTTCACGACTCCAAGATTGCACTCTATAAAGGAACAATGACTGACTTAAGTATTACTTACCAGTGGATAACTGTTCTGACTTTTTATATGCAGTCTAGAAATCACAAATCAATTAATTTCTCTCACAAATCATTCATCTTAGACTTATGAATAAACAATGAAATAGTCAATGGCCTGAATAAGGCAATGAGTTATCAGGCTGGGTGGATGCTTTTTAGTATTTTATCTATTCTTTTTCTTGCTCAGGGCTGGTAGGTTGGATCTGAACAGTTAAAGACAAATGGTCTGATAGGTATTTGAGCCAAATCAATTCCTGATTGATTAGAGGAAGAAATGATGAGCATGGACGGAGGCAACAAGGAAGGATAGTAGCATCTAAGAAAGATGCAAAGACAGAGACGTGGGTGCCATTTTGTGACCCACTGGATATTGCAATCAGTGTGACCTCCACAAAAGAAACTCCAGGAGCAAAATTCATTCTCAGCTAAGAGGTTTTACGTAGGCAAATCTGTCTGCAACCACTATAAATTAGTTATTTTATACGACAGTCAAAGTTAGAAACTACTGAGTAGGACTATGGATGTGTCTATTTTCTGCCTAATACTAGCTGTGAGGTTTGATTTGACCAATCTGGGCATTTTATTCATTAGCTTCTCTTGAAATGCACCAGAAAATAGGAGAAGAAAGAATAGTTGTGTGGAGACTTATGGTATTTTCTTACATGTTTGATAGTGGTAGATAGTGATTAAAATTCTCTAGAAAGAAGTGAATAGCTGATTAGAACAGGTTTAACATGTGAAACATATTTTTTTTCAACCTGGTTTAAGTTTTTTATAAAAGTTAAGAATAAGTAAACATGCTCTACATATTAAAATTCAGTTTCTTACAAATACATGTCCAAAATAAAGATTATATAAAACTCTAAATTATTAGATTTGGCGTTAAAACGTTTATTTCAAATCACAGCAAAATTATAATGAATAAATGCCCTTACTTTGTATGGAAATGCGATTCTTTATAAAATTAACAAAAAGAAACTGATAATTTGTACCAGTGAAAGAGAGAAACACACAGGCTAAATGTCTTCTTATGGGGATAAGGGCGGAACCCATCTTGCCTTCACTCTCAAGATTAACAATGCAAATTAAGCTTTTTGAACACCACTCTTGTGGGGACACCCATACGCTGATCTAGAAATTAAAACTTCATAGTTTCAATTCTAGATCTATTAATGCCAGTTTCTCTCTGGCTGTCGCCTTTGAGAACCTGTTTAAGGATACATAAGTAATCCAGAGCTGTCAAGAGTTAAAAGGCCAACTTCTCCAATGGACTCACTGTCTCTGGGTCACCTGCAACCAAGAATTGGGTACCTTACGAGGATGCAGGAAGGATCCGAGTTCACAATGAGTTTCAAAGGCCATGTTCATTAAGAACCTACTCTCTCTGGATTCTCCTGCTGAGTTCCAGCAGGGCGATGGGCTGAATCCCGCCCACAAGCAAGACGCCTGTGTGACCCCGACTGGGCATGGCTGAAGAAGACTGAAGAGGGAACTTGGTTACATGGAAGAGTGCACTGATGGTAACTGGCCTTCTCCACACACTCATGTAGTAGTACAGCAGGAAATGCCATCATCAGCCGAAATACAACAAACATTATGTCGACGTTATTAAAGAAATAATCATCTCAATGTGGTTGATTCTGACATAGCTGCAATTACAGTTTTTCTCCTATTTTTCATGCCACAATCTAGGTAGTAAAAAAAAAGTAGATTCATGGCTTGGAAAGGCAAATTCTAAGCATTCCTTCAAAGATTGATATGCTAAAGTCAGCATTGATGTTTGTCTTTTTACACCTAGGAATTTTAGCCTGGGTATGTAGGTTGAGGCCAAGTCCCTCTGCAGGAAAAAGCTTATTTTTAAACTCAGAAAATGTCAATCATGAAAATCTACTTCAACTTTAGCAAAGAGGGGAAAAAAAATCAATGAAAAGTATACTCTGTATGCTGGGAATCCAGGGTTCCAACATGCCGCTACAAATCTGTGGGGGGTTTCTTTCTTCTGATGATCCTAGAGCCTGTCTCCATAGAAAGGCATTTCTTCAATGGCTGGTTGTAGTTAGTTTCATGTTTTTCAATCAAAATTTGCAAATGTATTTGTTGCTGTATAGTGATTGTTTTGCAAAATAAAATTGCTTGTCACCTAACTGATAGTTTCAGATTGTTTCTTTGTCTCTGGAAAATAAATATTAGTCTCAATCCAATCTAAGAAAAATTGTGAAGAGAAGGCCACAATTATCAGCTGAATTCCTACTGTGTCAGGCCTTGTCACTACTGTATTAGCAGGATGCTGTCACAAGTGACAGAAACTCAAATTGAATTGGCCTTAGCATAAAGGCAAATTTATTGGTTCAAGTAACCAACTAGGCAGGAGTATCTACCCCAGGCATGGATGGATCCAGACACTCAAAAGATGTCATTAAGAATCTTTCTTTTTCTAACTCTGGATCCAGGCTCTCAAAAGAGGTCATCAGGAATCTTTCTTTTTCCACATCTTAGTTCTGCTTCCTCTGTGTTGGCTTCATTCTCAGTCAGGCACCCCTTTCATGATGGTCACTGGAAGCTCCAGGTTTCACAACCTAGCGAAGAAAGCCTCTTTCCCTATAGCACTGGCCAAACAAGTGAGTCACCGCCTCACTTGTGCTGATTGGCCCGACTTGGGTCACATACCCAACTCTGTCACAGGTGGTTGGGGTAGAAGGAGAGGAAAGGGAGCAGTGGCCCCATCTGAACCAGAGGAACTGATTTGGAGAGGAAATGTTCCCTCCAAAGACAAGTCAGCCTGCTACTGCCAGAAGATAGAGGAATTGATCTGGTGCAGGCCATACAAAGAGACACTTCTACATCCACACACCCTATTCTCTATCTTTCTTCATCCTTTAGCTCTCTGCTACTCAAATTGTGCTCAGGCTTCACCTGGGAGCTTGTTAGAAATGCAAAGTCTCAGGCCCCACCCCAGACCAGTTTACAACATTCCCCTGGGTGACTCATCTGCACATTAACGTTTGAGAAGCACTCAGTTCATCCAGTCCTTGCTCATGTGTGTAAGGAGGAAGACTCCACTGCAGCCCACTAACGGGTAAAAATTACCCCGAAGACTACCTAAGACAGCATCACTAACTCCAATGTCAGAGTTTAGTTACCACACAGTAGAAACTGTGACTAGGGGAAGAAATACTTTCATACTGGAGGTTTTCCAGACCTCATTAACAAGGCAAAGAAGACTTTACTTGGCTTGAGAAGAAACAAGTAACTCAGATATAGTGGAGGATGACACAATAACCCTCTGTGTAGCTTATAGGGAAAAAAAATGTTCCTCTTCTCTTTTATGATGTGACACTTAACCTGTAGAACCACAACCCAAATAATTCAGGGCTATAATGTTGTCCCTGTCAAACGTACACAGACCAGCAACCTAAAATTGTTCAAAACACTGTCCTGTGTGGGGTTTTCTTGAGTATGTTGAAGAAACATCTTAGACACAGTCCTAAAAGCCCCCTTTTTTTCTTTCATCCCTTTCTGTCACAAACACACCACAGCTGTTCCAACTTCTCCAAATTCCATTAAAATCTCCAGCCCGAGGCCTGGCTGAGGTAACAGACCTATTGTCTCCAAATGTGCTTTGTGTGGCCTGCAGTGTTTTCAAACTCAAGAAAGTTGACACACACACACACAATCCAGATTTGGGTCTTTGAAAGGCTAAAAGATTTGGCAACACTGGGCCTGCATTTGTTCGTGATAACGGTTGGCCAGAGCTGGTGCGTGATGATGAGATGGGTCTGCCGCCTCCACTTGGACGCAGTGCCCGCCCGTGCCTGTCGTTACTCCCAGCCCACTTCATTCCGTTTCACCCTTTAGGCAATTAGACTCTGCAGATTTAGAGTTTATAACCTCTGATTCAGACCCGCTTCTCTTTCCCTCCCTTCCAATTTCTTCCTCATCCTGTGCAACAAAAACCCAAAAGAACAAGCCCTTAATCCTAGAGAGGAGGAGGGAAAAGGTCAGGTTGGGTAGGTCAGATCCTAATCCTCAGGGAGCCTGGGAACCTGGGAAACCAAGAGTTAATAGATTTTTGCCCTGTCTCAAGGAAAAAGAAAAAAAGCCTTCAATTATTACCTGTATTTGACAGTAGCAACTGGTAACTTTCACGTCCATGATAAACACATTTAAAATTCTGCTCCTACCTGTATTTATCATTGAAGCAGAGAAAAAAGAAAAATACAGTGGAGTTTTTTCTTGTTTCCCCACCCTGTAAAAAATAAAAATCTCATTGTCAAGTGAGAAATGAAAAAAATTACCATCTTACTCAGTGGGCCTGAACTTAGAGGACACTTGCCTATTACTTTTGGAAGTAGAAGAAAGGCGTAGTGGAAAGACGATCTAACCTAGTCAGGAGAGTGACGTGTTCTTAAACCCGGGCTGATCTTCAGCCAACATACTCCTTATTCAGCTAATAAGTTGTTAAAATATTGAAAGACTTGCTGCCCAAGCCTCCTCCTTACCAGTACCTGCCTTTTCCAACCAGGCCTATTGCCCTGGGCTCCACAGACCTCCTCCAATCAAGCACCTGTAAGGTTAACGCCTGCTACAGCAGAAAGCCTCCAAGATCCAGTCCCCCCACGATTCCTGCCTTCCAGGTGTCACCAGTGGCTATGATCCCCTCAGGGGCTCTGGAGAACTGGCCTGTGCATCACAGCTGTCACAGGAAGCCCAGATGGTCTAG